CACGCACGTACACACACGCACGCACGCATGCACGCACACACACACACGCATGCACGTACACACACACACGCATGCACGTACACACACGCATGCACGTACACACACGCACACACACACACACGCATGCACGTACACACACACACATGCGCACGCATGCACACACACACACACACACACACACACACGCATGCATGTACACACACACATGGTCCCATGGTCCCCACAACATGAAAATGACAGGTGTCCCCACAATGTAATATAAACCTAATCCACAAACACACACACAAACCTGGAGGTACTGAATGAGGTCATGGTGCTCACCTCTGAGCCACCAAGCCACCCACCATTAAATCAGCCATTATTAATTCAACATAAAAAGATGGCTAAGTGGATTGAGAGTGGATAAGCTAATATAGAGTGTCTGCATGGTACTTTGTCCTCAGGGTGATGGGTCTCTTCGCACAAGGTTTCCTGGCTGGCTATGCTGTCTGGAACACCATTGTGGTGTACGTCCTGGCCGGGGAGCGGCTCAGCAGCTTGACCAACCTTCTCCAGCAGTACCACACGCTGGCCTACCCGGCCCAGTCCCTGCTCTACCTGCTGCTGGCTCTCAGTACCGTCTCCGCCTTCGACAGGTGGCTTGCCCTGCCTCTTTGTTGTTGTGGATGGCCTCTCTGCTGCATGCACCTGTGTGTGCCAGAGAGAGAACGAGTGGTTGATCCATCTGGAGGTGCATAATGTCCCTCTCGACAGGGGAATATTTATGTGTGTGTATCTGTGTCTGTGTGAAAGTATATGTTCTCTCAATTTTTAAGTGCTGGGGTACATTGATTTCTATCTATAGCCTCATTCAGACATGCAATGCCACCCTGAACATTTCTAGACATTACCCAGAAGAGCTGTAAGTGTGTATGAAACAATCATGCTGGACATTTAACAAACTTTACCATGCTAGCTACCTAATATGAAGTCCTCCTCATTTCTGTTTGCACCCCCCCCCCCACCCTGTGTGAATTAGTGCTGTAGTTCTCGAGACCGGTCTTGGTCTTGAGACCAATTTTTTGTGGTCTCGGTCTTGTCTTGGTCTTGACTCTATTTGGTCTCGGTCTTGTCTTGGTCTCGACCCTATTTGGTCTCGGTCTTGTCTTGGTCTCGACCCTATTTGGTCTCGGTCTTGTCTTGGTCTCGGACATAGCGGTCTCGATGGGATGGGGAAAAAAAGAGAAAACAGCACATCCTCACAGAACAGTATCATTATTCATTACGCGCCTCAATTCAAATGCAACCAGTCAGATGCATCTACAGTACTTTAAAAACGTTACATTGTATACATTTTCTCAA